GGAAAAAGCGCTTTGTGGACGTGAGACACCTCCTTAGAGAAATCAATCCACACATGCAGGAATCAGGTGCCTGGCCTTTCTCACGCTAGCTATGGAGCAGAGAGCAAATACGTCATTTTCTGCTTATTTAGCACATCGAGCGTACTGGAAAAAACTGTCACTGAGATATGTATGGTGGCCGAGAACTGCCAATCGAAAAATCCTCATATTGAAGGAATATGAGATTAAGACCTTGTTTAACGTACATCTGCATCGTTCCTTTAAGAAGGTGATCTTCCTTCCACGATGAAAACCTGTTATCCGCCATCTTCGAGCTTCTTCGAGAGAAAGGGTCGTAAACACAACAAAATCAACGTGACGTACGCAATGCATGCTGGTAGTGGCAGCGCTCGACTGGGACGAAAATTTTATTTGATTTTAATTTTGATTTCATTTCATTTTACTATGGTTTCATTTCGTTTTATTTTGATTTCACCTGATTTTACTTACTAAAATAAAAATTAGAAAAATGAGTGGAAAATGATTACCGATGAAAATAAAAAAAAAAAAATAATTCCTTCAATATGCAGATTTTTCGATTGGCAGTTCTGGGCCACAATAGACATGAAGTTAAAAAAAAAAAAACATTTTCAGGTACATGTAAAGTATTGTACGATGATAGACAGTAAAATGGGTAGCAATGAAAATCTGTCAGTACGTTACCCGTTTAATGGCGATATCTTTCTGTTCTCTTGCAATATCTATCTCCTGCTGCAATCTCATAACCTCTTTGTCATGCGTCTAGATAAAGAAAGTGAAAACAAGAGAGAGAATGAAAGTGAATACTTTCCTGGGGCCAACAGTTCTATCAGAATGTCTTATAAAGCGTTTAAACGAAAACCGCCGACTGGTCAGATCAATTGCTTGGATGCCAGTCTTCGGAGCAGTCGACCGGATCACCACTCAGGGTCTTGACTAAATACCTGAGAAGACTGTCTTTTCTTTTTGTTTTTAAGATAAGAACGAAAAACCGTAGCCACCACCCCTTCTAAAAACACTTCACCGATAGGACTAGTACATGTGGAAATAGAAGAATCGATACGGGAGTAAAGTTCTCTGGCCGTAACCACCCCTAGCGCTAGTTGTTAGATTAGGTAGGTTCAGTAGGGTACCGTCTTCATTTGGTAGGTCTGTGCCACGTTCGTTTCTATTTTCATTTGGTAGGTCTGTGCCACTTTCGTTTCTATTTTCATTTGGTAGGCCTGTGCCACTTTCGTTTCTATTTTCATTTGGTAGGCCTGTGCCACTTTCGTTTCTATTTTCATTTGGTACGTCTGTGTCCCGTTCGTTAATCGTTACTATTTTTATTTGGTAGGTCTGTGCCCCGTTTGTTCCTTTTTTCATTTGGTAGGTCTGTGCCTTGTTCGTTACTATTTTCATTTGGTAGGTCTGTGTCCTCCATTGGGTAGGCTTGTGTTCCATTCGTTACATCTCGATTTGGTGAATCTATGCTAAACAACGCTAAAACAATACTTTACCTCAAAAGACTGCGAACAGTCTCCCTTGGAATTGGAACTGAATACTATCAGAACATCTGATACTACTATCACAACGGCGTTAAACCAGCAATAAACTTCTGCCGCTTTAACTTACCTCTGCTGCACTAGCGATAGACTGCATAAGTCTTTTGCAACGCTGTTCAAGGTCCTCTTTCTCAGCTTGACACTTCATCAGCTTTTCCTGAATAATAGGGGGAAAATATAAAGACCTTGGGTACCATTTGTACGGGAAACCGGAAATTCCAGTTGGAAATTAAATGGTTCGCGTCAATTCATCAGGGAAGCTTCAGAAAATATGGGCTGTATATAAAAAACCACAAATTCACTTTTCTTGTCCCAAATGGTTCTTATAGGAATACTGTTAAAATATCGTGAGAATTTATCCTCGTCCCTCATTGCATCAGAGCCGTTTCCATGTGATTATCTCGACCACCCGAACACATTTTGGGAAGCCTTAGACAATGATTATGGAAACCAAGCTAAACCAGACAACAAGTAAAAGAGGTTTGTCCAGTAAATACTCTTTTTTCACTTACAGATTTATGTAAGTAGGGTTAAATACTGGGGCTCGGCCGATTGAAAATAGTTTAGACCGCAGTCATGTTACGCAAAGCCTTCTTTGAAGACTTTCTGAGACTTTCCAGGTTAAGTTGCCGTAAATGTGGTTGTGTCTTGATTACGCAGATCAGTGAATTAAAAGGATCAAGTACCTGGAGTTTTGAAGGGTTTGCCACCACACACGGTAATAAATCCGGTTTGATGATAGGTTCTACATCAGCTGTAGGAATGTTAGATGATGGAGTGCCGCTACTTGAACCAAAGAAACGATTAACTACAATAAAAGGGATGGAAAATCAGTACCAGATAATCTGATGTCTTTCAATATCATTGAGCTCAAATTTATATGAATACCCGTCTTACCAAGGGGCTGGTGATCACTGGCGAAAGCTACAGAGAGAATTATTTTGATAATAGTAACGAGGGAGAAAGTAGATGGCTCATGTGCGCGCCTGTCCCTGCAGTGCTTGATAAACTTTTACTTGCCTATCCGCAATTTTAACTGTCCATAAGGCAGACACCTCTCTGAAGCGGTCAGCCAAACTTGGTTTGGATAGCATTTAGCTTAAAGCTGTGTCATTAAAGTAGAAATTGGGCCCTAACTGAGCGAGGAGAATCAAGCATTCAAGGAAGGTTTAAATATCACAGCAAATATAAAAGAAGACAAGGATGGGCAACATCGAAACACCCCATCTAAGAGAATACGGATTCCGGAAATATCCGAAAATATGTTTGCTTGTGGAATCGGGAATCCGGGAATTTTTGGAATTTAGGCTTTGAAATTTGGAATACAGCTCGAGGAATCCGGAACCCAACTAACAGTTGGAATCTGCAATCAGAAATTTACTGAGAAAGTATCCGGTATCCACGGCGCAGAATCGGAAATCAAAGACTGTCTTGGGTTTCCTTTCTTGGGGATTGTATTTCCGTAGAGTTTCTGAAACGTTTCATCTTAACAGTTTTTCAAAGTTTCTCTCCGTTTGTTTGTCACGCTTGGGAGACACATTTGTTTGTCAGATGCTGCGATTTTGTCATTTACAAGTAATATGATTTTCTTCTTTGTACAGAAAGCCAAGAAGAACTTTTGGAATAATGTCCGGCTTAAGAAAGTTCAGTGCCATTACCAATAAGAAGGTCACCATATAGTGCCTACAGCCCTAAGCTTCTCACCTGGGGTTTCGGACCGAAGCTCCTCGTACGAGTTATGCTTTCGAAGACTCTGAAAACAAAGACAACAAAATATGTGACCATAATTTCAAGAAATTTCTACAGTATAAGGATCTTAACACCAGAAGTAAAACTATTATTAATACAGCTTCTCCCTTTTAACGAGTTGTTTAATCAACTAATATCAAATTCTCCATAAACTCATGGGGTGGGGGTGGGAAAGAAGGAGATGTAAACATGGGGAAAAGAATTGCGTAATTGAACTGTGCCTTACATTGAAATGTTAAGACTCAAATTAAACACTACAGGAGAATGACAAAGAAGCTACAGTCATGCTTGTTTTGATCTATTTTGAGTTTCTACAGTGTTTCGCCTTAATCGGAAATAAAGTTTCCCACTTCAGTGATTATTTTATGCGTCTTGGTACTTTCGTGAAGGTTAAAATATACAAGGAATATTTAACTCACCCAGTCAAGGGACTTAGTTTTGTCTTCTCTTCTTAAAAGTTCTGGTGTCTTCAACAATTTACGTCTTTCTTGCGGATTATCTGAGTTTTATAATAACAAAAACTGTATGAAAAATCATAAACTTCACAACAAATACAACAGGGATCAATGCCCAGTCACATTTCTATAAACATTTTGCAGAATACTGTTTATTTTAGCATGCTTAATTTTCAAACACCATCGTAAGTGGGTAGATTTCTCAATTTTGGCGACCTCATACCTGGGGACTACGCTTCCAGAGAGGCCGTGAGAACGAGATTGCACCTTGAGTTCACCGTGTGCAGCGAGATTTTCGAGCCTAATGAGTATACCATTATTTACAGACAGTTTTATGTAAGGTGTTCAATCCGTACGTAGCAGGACTCAGACTTTTCCGTGCTGGGCTATGCGCGTTACAAAATGAATACTTTATCCTTCTTAAGACAAACCTTTTGCCATCCATCTCGGGCTGTTGGGTGGTACGTTTTCATTAATGTGTCTCACAATCGTAGCCACATACAGCTTTAACATTGGGTCTTTGGATGAGAACCCTGCAACAGAAAAACATACATTATACAAGTGATTGATAATTACAGCATAATCCTCATATCCGACTTAACCAGAAAAAAAGCTTAAAAAATCTTTCCATTCCATTAAATTTGCAAATAAGATGGAAGATCAGTTAGATTACCTGTTGGGGTTTGTAGCCTCTCTTGTAAGTTCTGTACTGCAACATCAACTGCAAGATTATTTTTGATACAGAATTAAAACTTAAAAAGGTTTTATGGCACTTGTAAGTCACAGCCCAGTAATAGTTTGAATTCATATACGATGGGAAGAACGTCCCAGACATCCTCAAGTGTATAAAGTTATTCGTCACTTTCAAAAAGAAAATGGAACCGGAGCCGATATAGCGATTTTCGTATGACCTTGAAAAATGGTTTCGGTGTGTTCGTTATTTGTTTTATCAGCCAATGGATGAAAAGATCAAAACATGGACTCTTCGTTTTCCCGCCAAAGAAAGCCTTAATATGGAGAACGCATTGTTCGATTGGCCAATAGTGTTGCAGTATGACGTCAAAGCGAAGTTCGATTGATTTCTAGAAAGTTCTTCGGGCATGAAGTCTTTTCAGCCGAGCGTTCGCTTAACCAACCAAAACCCACGAGCGTTTGTATTCGTTCGACAAACTAATCAAATCGTTCCATTTCTGCTCGTTTGTTGTTTCTGAGACTGTTTTGTTCGCGCGTTTTTATTTCAAGGTCATACGAAAATGGCTCTATACGTCCCGCAACTGTTCCTTGCCGGGATCATTACTGGGGACGCGCCGGTCCGTTCGCTATTGGCCAATTTTTTTCATGTCATAAGTAACAGTCCCACAAGTCTTGGCAACTTAACCTCGTTTTAAAAGTAGGAGTTTTTGGAAGTCAAAGCCTATTTGTAGAAAGGATCTGTAATGTTATCAACTTAATCAAAAAGCTTACACAGAGAAATTTTGCATAACAAGTATTATGGTGGGTTTGTTTTACCTTCCACAGCTCTCAATAGTTGAACCAGCTCCTGTTTGCCACCGGAACGGGATGCAAGGTCTGCCGCTGTCTCTAATGTGTCAGTCAAGGCAAACACTGGAACACCCATCTTAACAGGGAGAGTAAAGTGGGGGAGGGGAGGGGAGGGAAGCAAATCATGAGCGCACATACTTGGTTGTCAAAAAAGGATTTATCAGTATACTACTAAGTAGTAATAAGTAGAAACGTTTTATGGAGTGTATGCAGCATTTCAGCTTCCATTTTCTGGAAGGTGTTCGCGCCAAGTTTACGGTACGGTGACTTCTCTAAAGGAATGTGGTTCGGTTCTCAACAGCCGTTTGTGGGGAGTGAGCATTGCGTGAAGACAGAAAGAACGGCTGTGAAGCAAACTATGCCTTTGGCAAATTGGTGATAATGTCACTTGTCCCTGAGAAATCTGTGGGGATGCCAAATACACATTCCAAGATCCATTCAACCACCAACGGTCTTCCAATACAATATCATCACATGACTTGTCTCCAGTCATCTCTCACTATCTCTCTCTAAGGGCGTGTGGGGTGTGATGGGAAGGAGGAAAGTGAGGCAGACAGATGACCGTCTTTCACTCTTTTCCCTTCCCATCATCCCCTGCTCCCGCCGTGCGTTACGTGCGAAGACTACTGGGGACAAGTCAGTATCATCACTCAGATCTATTACGAGGTGCATTCTTTTGGGTACAATATTCACAAGTAGACCTTATTTGCATCTTGGTTAATTTTAAATCATGAGACAAGCCGTTTCGGAATATTTCCTTTGTAAATTGCTCATATTAATGATCACATTCATCCATTGTCTCCAGAAACAAAAAGCAGCAAACCTTCAAACGGTATAACATGATTTGTAACAAGTGGATACCATTTCAGCAAGTAAAGGTCTTCCCTGCACATTACACTGTAGTATTATAATGTATGGTGAATTAACTGTGTCTAGGCAAAACATCAAAGTGAGAAAACGGGGGCAACCAAACGCAGATTTCTTCTTCAAAAAAGTGCTATGAAAACATCTTTTAGACTACCTACAGTTCTTTTAAAGCTGTACAAATGCATTTTAAGTGACACCACAAAATTTTGATCTGTTTGGTTGTAAATTAAGGCAACTTTTAGTTAACCTTTTTGAATTTTGTAAGGCTTTCTAACCGCATTATTATTACTTTCCAGAACAATATTATATTCTCACTTTCCAGAAAATCTTACCTTCCGTTTTGTCAGTAGTACCTGTATGAGAAGTTCACCACACTCCACATGACTTTCACTTGATCCTTTCCTACAGATCAATCACATAATATCAGTAATACATAGCTGCTTAATCAAAAATTAAAATCTAGACCGCGTTTTTGCCTCATTGACGTGGAATATTCAATATTCTATTCTGACACAAAATGAAATTATCATGGAGGCATACTGATGCAAAAAAGGTTACCTAATATACAAGTACTTCAAAAGCAGCAGTCAATATTAAAAATAAAAAAAGTGTGATTACTAGCCTTAAATAAGAGCACAAGATGACTGTTATTTCAGACTATGTGTTTATGAGTAGTTTTTGTGCCAGGCCTTCCATGCGGTACAGAAAGAGACTGGAGTGTACATGTCCATGTTCTGCATAGTTGTTGCTTTGCCAATCAACACACGCTTCGTTTCGTTAATTTGTGCTTTTTCTTTATTCATTATGAAACAACAGCAAAAGCTAAGTTCATTTATTTACGCAATTTAAGAGAATGACAGTTGAACCTGAAAAGAATGAAGATGAGCTGGATAATTAAGATGGTGAAGCTCATGATAGTTGTTCATAGTTTGGACCAGACCATTTTTGAAATTAATCCAATTTAAAATGCCACGTGGGATGTATGACCCACTTTTACCAATTTCTAGACTGAACAGTCTGCTTAATAATACACCCCACAAGCCTTGATTTAATAGGATTTCATAAAAAATTTGTATAACATGTTTTTTAACCATAGTTATGTAAACTTACCATGCAAGGGCATGAAGAGGGGTCCAAGATTTCTAGATTGGACAACAAAAGAAATATTATAATAAGTAGTAGTCTTGATATTCATTTACTCATTTCTAGTATGTAACATTCCATAAACTTACATTGTTCACTGCTGTCACATCTGCATTTCGTTCCTGTTGAATTTTAAATAAAATAAGTAAATAAGAAGGGATTTAATTTACGTAGCTACAACGTAGTTTACAGGGCTGATATACATGGGTTAACCCTGAAAACTGTCGCGTACAGAGAAATATTATGACGTGTGTATTTCAAGAGTCAGAATGACATGCCACACTTTCTGTTAGAGATACGAGGACCAGGAAATTATTGGCAGAAGGTTAAATACCCTTCAATTAATTATCATCATCATCACCATCACTATTATTTCAGTATCATTCTGTATGGATATTAGCCTAGTCAAAGAATCCTGCAGTTTGGATTTAACTTACTATGCAGACCGGTACTGAAAAATGCCAGACTTTGTAGCAAAATGTGCTTAATTCAAGATGGAAGAAAGCACCAAAAATATTCACTTGCAAGATTTTAAGTTTGGGTTCAAAAAGCTTCCAATCATGAGACTCTGTCCTGGCTTTACAATTGAAGAGGTGCATGCAACAAGGCCCTACAAGGTGTCTGCTAATCTGCTACATCTCCCTTTAATTTTCAAACATATTATACAATAGAAATTGATTATATAATTATTATATATAGAATCAGGGTTTTCATTAAGAATTTAGTAGCAGGAGGAAGGTGTAATGTTACAGGAGAGTATTGTGAAAGACACTCTGCATCAGAATAAAAAATAGTCCTATAGGCTATCAAACATTAGCCAGAGAATTCTGCATAGTAAACAGAGAATTCTCTGATCTCCTTTGCCTAATGAACACACTGTAGAATGATGACTGTAACAATTAAGACACTGGGCCAAAATTCTAATGGAAAGTTTACAAACTTTCTCAAGGTTGTTAAATTATTAGGGACAAATTGAGACCAAAATTAGTGACCATTAAGAGAGCCACACAAGGGAGATGGCCACCTTCTGCAGCAAAAAAGAGAGGAGTGTTCTTGTCCTCATCTACAAAAAGAAATAACAAAATAATATTCACTGTGATTTCATTCAAATGTAGGATCAAACACTCTTATGAGAAAGAAACAAAAAAAATTTACTTTGCCTGTGAATCTTTATTTACCAGTATAGAAGAAATAATTCAAAGTGGGTTTGTTCATATTTAAAATTAAATTATTACCTCTAATATTGATGTCAACATTCTCATGATTCAGTAAAGTAACCATGGAATAATGGTCTCCTGGAAATACAGCAACTCATTTTTACTGATATTAAATACATCAAAATTAATATACTTTGACTAACTAATTATTTTCTAAATGATTAAAATGCATTGTGGTACTACATGCATTCAGAGTCATCACTCAGTTGGGAAAATATTGAGTCATAAATTTGTCATAAACAGAAACTCATAAGTTATGAGTTTCTGTCATAAATTAATCACATCCTGTTAAAAAGTTACCATTATAAAAGAATAGCAAAAACACATCTGTAGGCAAAAATGTGCAGAAACCATACATCACAGATTATTGTACAGCTCGAGCTCATCAGCACTGTGAGAAAGATTTGAAGTACATGTACAAGGGGCTTTACTGTTGAAGTACACATGTATGACTTGCTAGTTTTTGACTTGGTTAGTTTTCGGCAGTCTTTTGATATTAGATTAGTGATAAGCATATTATTACCTGTTTTAGCAGCTTCAAACAAAGCCCTTTTCCTTTGTTCAGGATTTAAACTAGACAAACTTGACACCACAACGAATGCATCAGATGTTGCAGATGATGTTGAATTTGCTAAAGATGAAAGAAAATGTCATTTCAATAAAGACCTTTTCATTTCCATGTCCTGTTATGATGTAGTTTAAAATGAAATTTACTGTGGTTTCATCCTAGTTTGATTCTCAGTTTCCTCTTTCTCCTAACTGATTTCTGATGGACAGTTACCAGTTTGGCAATGCTAGGAGACAGTGTAACACTTCAGAAAACAAGTTTGCCATCCAACATAATTTTCTGTTGATACAAATTTATGTCATCATCATCACTATCATCATCATCATTATCATTATCACCATCAACAAGTCTCTCAGTGTCAGAGTTAGGAAAACAAGGACCTTGGGGCATCTTTATACACTGGTATTTATTGATTTTATATTTATTTCATTTAGCTATTTGTCAGACTGCTTGATTTTTTAAAGTAATCAACAATATCATATATTAATATCTCTGATGGGTAAATTTAACACACCTCTTCCTGTTCTAGCCTCTTCTATAGCTGACAGAGCCTTCTGGGTGTTCATTTCATCTTCTTTTTGTTTTAAGAGACATCTTGTACATACCTAGCAGAATGATAAAGGACTACTGACAGTAGATCAATGCTCAGTCAAGTGACCACTTTTTCAAAGGCCCTCTAAAATGTGGGCAAGCAAATTTTTTGACACACATATTGGCAAAATGATTTTTTGTGAAACAGACAAATTGCAATAGAAATTCTATAATAGTAAGTATGCCTCAGTTCCTGTGAGTGCACTTAAAACTGGAGCCATACTGATGCAGTTGCATGAATCTTACCACAAGACATTACAGCGATCAATTATGTTCAGTATAAAGACATTGAACTTTTGTCTCTTAACATTTGTATGTCAACACCAGATGTTTCGTGATTGAGTCTGTTAAGTTTAATGGAGTAATGGCCAACAGTTACAAAGATCGTTTGCCAAAAGAAGAAAATTTAACTCCCTTTCTTACAGTCCGCTCTACATTACTGATAAAACTCATTCATTGTTTTTATAAAACATAACATGATTTTCAAATGGATGATGTAATAGCAGGATTTAACTATTTACTAACTTATTATTTGACAAAATAAATTTTTAACAGTGACGTACCTTTACTGCTTTGTTAACGACAACATGACAGGTAACACACACTGCAGTGGAACATGTACGACAATGAGAACTAACAAACAAAAGAAATGTGGAATTATCATCTTGACAAGAGGTAAGAAAGTGGTGCATCGTTTTACTTAAATTCTAAATCTAAAGAGGTGTTTAAGCACCTTACTCTTTCATAAGAGGGAGAAAAGAAGGGGGAGAATAATAATCATCATTTATATTATGCAAATTAACATAAAAATATGATTCGATAAACGCACATTAATTAGAAATTAGAATTAAGGGAGTATAAGTATTAAGACATTACCTGTCCTTTACTAATCTTGTTTCTATAGCATGACAAAACAACTAAGAATATTTCTAATCCTTCCTGTCAAAAGGTTTGCTTTAGTCCATAATGTTACATTTGCTGGTACTGGTTCATACACCTGGATGGAGTGCCAGTCGCATCGAGAGTAAAGTGTCTTGCCCAAGAAATTATGAATTAAGCAAGGTCAAGGACCCTAGCTAGCCACAGCTAGAACCCACATTTTTTGATCTGGACTCCAGAGCACTGATAATAAGGTCATTATGCCTCCAAGATTTCAGAGCACTATGTGTATACTGTACATAATGAAAAGGGAATCCATGCATGCATTATGATAAACACTACATGTAACAAGGGTAGCTCCAGTGTTAACTTTTTTTATTTAGAATAATATATATTAAATTGAGTAAACATTATAAGATGCTTACCGTCCTTTGATCAAGTTAGTTCCCCAATACTTCTGAAATATTGTTCCACACTTGGAACAATTCTGCCAAATAAAAAGTAACAATTTATCCTGAGTTCTACAAGTGCAAGCAATTCATAGGTACAGTTCACACTTTAACTTAGTTAACACTGTAATGTAGTTAACTTTCCTTCTTCTTGAGGAACAGTTCATGCATCAGTACACTCACTCTTGTTTTTGTAATACAGTGCAATGGTCATCTTTTACAAAATACCATTATGTCAAAACAGTCACGTAAGTGTGTGCTAACTATCAAAATACCCTCTGCAAATGCGCCACACTTGTATATAAATAGCCAGCAGCATATCAGTCCTATCCATTTGAGTGTTTTTCACATTATCAGGGTGGAGTACCTGTAAACTAGCTTGAGCAGCTTGCTGCCTTTTTATTATAAAACAAAGCATTTACCTTTTTTTAACTATTAAACCTTGGATTATAAAGTTAGCAATCACGAACCTTGCAATCGCAGGACTTGTATGATTTTTTACAGTCACTACACCTTCTTGTAAGGCCTGCACTGTCACTTCCTTTTGAGTTCAAACAGAAATTCAAAGAAGAAAGACTGATTTTATTCAACTGAAGATGATCAAATTATAGAAAAGAACACTTGCTGTACCACACTTTGTCACTCATATAATCATTATAACGCCAAAATTTTCAAGTCTTTTATACAAAAACTAAAATCCACATTTGACAGCTGGCCGTCTTTTCATTTAGATTAAGGAACTTTTAGCCTGAGAAAACAGCTAACATTTAGCGATGCTACCACTGCATTTCCACAAAATGATGTCTGAGAAACGAGCACAGAAATTCTATACCGATGATGCATCACTACCCAGATCTGGGTAGTGCTTCTAATTGATCATACCGCATGGGAAATTTGATTCAACCAATCAGAAGCACTACCCAGATCTGGGTAGTGATACATCATCAGTATGAAGTTTCTGTGCTCGTTTCTCAGACGTCATTTGGCGGGGAAACCAGTGGTAGCGTCGCCAAATGTCCGCTGTTTTCTCAAGCTAAGGAATTTTATACCAAACAGAATTGATAAGCTCTTTAATATCATCAGTGTATCATGCAATGCACGCAGAGACAACAAAAGCATTTCTAGTTCTACTAACAATGTGGAGCAACTACAGAATACAAGGCCATATTTTCAAGTCTTAAACAGAAGTGGCTCGGTGGCTCGCTAGTCACGACAAGTGTTTAAAGAACGAGAAAGATATAAGACATATAAGTATAAGACAGACATAGAAGGCATATACTTTAGTATGTATTATAGCAGATGATAGGTATATTTTTTTAGTGGCTCGGGGGCTCGGTGACTCATTGTCTTTAGTTAATTATCTTTTATTTGCTTTACCTTTTATTTATAGAACATCATGAAGTTTCGTGGACGCAATCGAACGCAATATTTCAGACAATATGTGTTGAAACTTAAATTAGAAAACAATACATAGTCATAGCTGTCAAATGAAAGTTTACATAAGACTGCAGCAGTATACAGGGTGTGAATGAAACGTTAAAAAAAAAACTTACCTTCATTCAAGCTTGAACTATGGGAACCTTCCATTTCTTATAAAATTATTTCTTTCTAATCATTTCACAATCAAAAACAAATTTCGCAAAATCAAAATCACAAGTGTTTGAGTCTGTATTTTGTTACATGACTTGGTATCCGAGCCAACCTCGTCCCCAGGGTCTTCTCGCTTTCCAATATGGCGGCGGCAGGAGAGAAGACCCTGGCACACAGCAGAAATCACGTGACTGATTTGTCCACGGAGAGTGGAAATTTATTCAAAATGGCGGCCAAGCTAAAGAGTGAGAGGATCTGGGTACGAGGTCTTATGACCTGGTGAAAAACAAACAAAATGGCGGCAGAGGCAAACTTAAAGAAGCTAAAAATATGAATGAATGCACTTACAAGCCACAGGAATACGGTAGAATGATATAGCGATCTTATTTTCTGTTCAATGACCTGGGTTTAGTTTTAAGCCTGAACGTTCTAGCGTACACGGCACTTAACAACTGTCTACAACTTAATTTCTCGATACCGACCTTTCTTCACTGTTTTTTTTTTGCCTACCCTGAGTGCCAGAGGTTCAGTTTTCTTCTTTCGTGAAAGGGGAGCTTTTTAACCGTGAGCGCAATTTGTTTGATGTTAGGAATTTCGAGAACAGACCTCTGAAGCCAGGGATTTTTTTGTCATGACGCTCTAAAACTTCTTCCGCTCGAAATTCAACTAAGCATTAAATTGAGTCGCAGACACTTTGAGCTGATAAGTTATCGTCAGTTTTGTTACAGATCTTCATGAGGTTTTTTACTATTGTTTTTCTATTTGCACACATTTTAACGGAACTCTGATATGTAAAAAAACAATTTTTTTCTGAAAACAAGAGCCATAGAACACTATTTTGTTAATATAATTTGAGGGAACTTTGGTTGAAAATTAAACAGGTCCTTGTTCAGTTTGGATATTTTGTCACTTGATCTGGTACAGGTAATAAAATTATTGTCAATCTTGATGTACCTCACAGTTTTTAGACTTTCTTATTGGCTTTTGATATCTAACCCTGTTCACAATGCTTCCGGGCAATAGAGATAGGGGCCTTATTATTTTAATCTAGAGCAAAGATGCTGTTATTAGTCCCCCACAAAAAAAATGCCAAGTGAAAAAGCCCAAGTACAAGAAGGTTGGAGGTCAAGCAGCCGAGGATCAAAAACAAATCTGAACTTCCAGTTGGTGAATAAACCATCCTGGATCGGTCCACACAAAGTTTTACAGTCGTCATTGATTGATATAGTCTTTTATGAAGAATAAGAAAAGGGGGGATGTGGGATGGGGGTTAAAAGAGACGGGGGCTTATTGCTAAAACTTTCCACTGAAAAGGAGGGCTTATTTGAGAGAGGGGGCCTTAATAGAGGATTTAAGATGTTGTTATTATTGTTTTTTTTTTGCCTCTCAGATGTAAAAAATGAAAGGCATTAACCCCACTTTAATAGCTAGCAAAAGGTGAAGAGTGTTTCCATTGTTTCTAATATAGCAATCCAAAAGTATTCTCCACTTTGAAATAGATTCGATTTTTAGAGCAAAAACTTTCTTAATCCCTGACTTTGGTTTATTTTACATATTACTTGGGGCTGCACTTTGCCATGTCAATGTGCAAATTGACTAAAGGCTAGACTCCAGTTGTTCAAAAATTTGATAGTCCTATCTGAGTCATGTGCACTGTAAAAGTTCCTATCTCATTTGGAGATAATAGATCTTTTAAGTCAAACACGCTTTGCTCGTCAGATGGGCCCTTTCGTACTCTTATTAAATCGAGACATGACCTGGTAGTGGTGTGCTTTATATGATGTTTAGTTGGTTTAACTATGTGACAGATAAGCCTCTGCTTGCAGCGCAGGGTAGGTTTTTTGTTTTGTTCAGTTACAAAATTATTTTCAGTGTTGAAAATGGCGCACAGGGGCACAAAACTATAATCTACTATAATCGATTATCAGTTTAATAGTTGTGTTAATCTGATTATTTCTGATGATATAATTATGATATAGACACTATGACTAAGACTAACCAACACCTTAAAGTAGACTTTGGAAGTATTTCAGCCAGCACATCTAACAGCTGCAACCTCACAGCCCAACACCTAAACAAGCTAAAAGCCTTGCCTTTTCCCTGTGTGGTATTTTCTCAAGCCTTCTTGGTCAATTCATTTCAATGACTTATCTCAGGCAAACTGGAGGGAAATTGTTTCAAAATTTTGCTTGGGACCACGTGACCCGAAACTCATTGGTCATGACTAGGCAACTAAAAGCTCACTATGCTAGTGGGGACTCTGGTGCAAAACACTTTAAAAGCCTTGGCATCCCTACATGAAAAATCCCATGATCAAGACACTGCAGGCCCTTTCCGCTCTTGTTTATTCAGTGGATAGTGATATATGCACCCTTTGAAGCAGTTTATTTTTGTAAATCCAAGTGTTAGAACTGAATTATAGCGGTTTCATAATCATACCCAGCTGGTTTTGGAATAGTACAGTACCAGCCACTATTTCACCTGGTCCACAAACCTGCTTTTCAAGCATATAGTGACAAGAACAACATGCACACTTAGCCTACAGTAATTAGAAGCTCAATTGACCGGTTTTAGTTTGACAGAAAACGTATTTATCTTAGGGTCACTGTCACCCCATGTAAGGAAATCTGGAATCTGGGAAATTTTTCTCGTGGAATCCTGAATAAAGGGCAAGTATTCTGCATCCCACTTATAATTGGAATCTGGAATCCAAGTTCCACTGACAAAGAATCCAGAATGCAGTATCCATGGTGCAGAATTGAGAATCCAAGACTGTCAGATTTCCTTGCATGGGCTCATCACTGTTTTCAACTTGATAGAATAAAAGACATCATGTGCTTTCATTATTTTATTTTTGCAACTAGAAAGAAATCCCACAAGCTTCAATACATTAATATGCAAGTTTTTCATTTCTGAGAATAGGAAACAGTTCATTTTCCCAATGTCTCTGTATTTGGCTGTATTTTACTGCCACTGAAATGAGCAAATAATAATA